CATGCCCGTTGCTGGTTGGCTAACTAGCAACAGGGTCTTGCCAGCCAATGGAATTGTGTGATTACAAGCCAGGGGAATCCCATAAAAGAGGGCTCCCCTGGCCCAGAGAGCCAGTCCGGATTTACTTTATGCCTTGCCAATAAACCAAGAGCTGACTGTCACTCGACTCGTGTCTTACTGCCTGCGCGATCCAACACCTTCACTTAAACCCTGATTTTATCGAGCTTGAATTAATTACCAAACACTGAGCAACAGTGAACAGGGAGCTGATAGAATTTCTCATGAAACAAATGTCTCATTCTATAAGACTTACTTCCCTCCCTCTTCTTTTCTGTTAGCTCCCTCTAATGCCTGAAAGGTGCTGCTACTACAAGGATGGTGCTGCTACAAGCATGCTGTTAAACTGGAGGCTGAAGAGTGCTTCAGCCAACAACCTTGTAACAATATTTTTTTCAACACCACTGCCGGTAACTCATCTACCTTGAATCAGTTTCCCAGGCTCAGGCCCTGAAGGGGCCACTGCTTTGGTTTATGCTTATGCAGCCACCATTTTCTTTTTCACTTCTCTAAATTTGCTGAGTGAATTAACTGTAGCTTCCCATTGGTTGCATTCACACAACATGCTTAACCTGGTTACTAAATTAATCTGTTTACAGAACTTGCAAAATATTCTGTATTCATAAACTTAGAAATCAGACATGCATGCATGATACAACATGCTAATTTACTTGTTCATTTATTTGGTCTATAAAAAGCTCGGTAAGAGTAATATTATCCAAGATTTATACATGGTGAGAATGCATCTGATAAGACTTTACCTGACCTGGTTTAATACATTGTTTGCACATGGCCATTATGCCTTTACAAGGAAACCATGCCTGACAGGAATGAAGCAAACCAGGATTTGATAACATGAAGTTTGCTTCAAAACTAATTAATTTTGATCCTGGTAGTTATAGCCTCCTGTTTTAGACATAATGGAAAAGTATGATTAATTGAAGCAGTCTTGAGATACTGCACAGTGAGGAAGAAGCATAATATTTATCGGCTAAATTAAAAATGTAGAAACTGACTGACTGTTTTATGTATGTATTATGAAGTTTGAAGTAGGTTCAGAAAATGTGAAATAAATAAAGTTTTATGTTTCAGTGATGTGCTTTGGATTTACCTTCTCCAGATGGTGAATGTCATTTGGTAATATTATGATCATGGACAAAAGTTCACCAACGTATGGAAGGCAGAGGATTTGGGCATTTTTTCCATCTGTGTGTCCCAGTTTAAATATCCCTTTCTGATACATCATATGGACAGATTTAGTTTCATTCTGTTTCCAAAGATAGGAGTAGATACATGTTTAAGATATAAAACATCCTCTCATGTTAAGGACCAACATAGTACAGTTTACAACATTTGGAATCTGAAAGCAAAATACAGAACTAGGATCTGGCAATATTCAAATTTGGCAAGTGGTTATACTTGAAAGAAGGGATAAGTCAATTGCAGGGTACAAAATTTTAGATGTGTGATATGTTGTAAATATAGGAGATGAAAATGTCCTCCATTCGTCCATTTTATTTTCTCCTATTATGCTCATTCTTTATGTTGATAACATTTTAGGGAATTTGTTTTCCTGTTTTATACATTCTATTACAATCTTCAAATTTCCCAAAATTAGTATCCTACTGGGAATCTGTTTTGTTTTTTTTTAAGCAACCGGGGAAGATCCCTTATGAAACCATAAGGACAAATCCTTTAAAAATGCATTGATTTAAGCCTGATTTATACATATACTACAGTAATAATAAAGGAGAATATTTGTAGCTCAAGGTTGACTTGAGGGGTCCTTGGTGTTCTCTGAACTTGCCTGTTTTCTTGCAGATTACCTAGTTTGGGTAATGAACCTTCTGCAAGAAAAGAAGCAAACTCAGAGAGCACCAAGGACCCCCCCTCAGTACAGTAATAACTCTGCAGAGCAATAATTAACAAGTAAACATGTTCCAAGTGAGCAGACATCAGTTAGGCAGAAGTCCAAACTCACGTTGCTTATAAAAGAGGAAACAGTTGTGCAGAGCTCCTCCTTGATAGGATTATCAGGCTAGGCCAGAGAGAGCTGGATAACCACTCTTGTTTTTATTAGAACTGCCCTTTGTGGTGTTGAGTGATAGAAAGCATTGTGTCAATCCAGCTGCAGATGGAGGAACAGTTTTGACTTTCCCTCAATTAAAAAAAGGCATTATGCAGATCAAAAGCTTGCTAGTGGCTGTTTGGGGTTTTTCAAGGTGGCATGTTCTGTTCGGCAATATACGATATTAGGTTCAACCTAGGCGTTTAAAGCTTCTGCAAGTGGTCTGTTTAGATAACTACAAAAAGTGGCCTGTGCCCATAGGTATAAATAAAGTGCTCTCTCTGGATCCTAAGGCAAACCTACTCCATCGCAGCTTTAATAAAGAGCTAGAGTTTATATTGCAGAGACAGCATCTCTTCAGCTGGCCAGACCTTGCATATTTAAGCCCTTCTTGAGGACAAACACTATAACTGTGGCTCAGGGAACTCTCTTAGGGATGGAGCAAGTCTTTGAAGTTGCACTAGTTACTACAATTACCAAATCCACATTACAAAATCTAATAGGTAGCAAGTTTTTCTTTTCTCTGCTGCCACCTAGTGGTCACCAAGCTGGACAGTGTGCACTTAGGTTGGCCACTGCGCTTGGTGTACAAACAGCCTTTGTTTAGCTACTGCCTCATTGGGATCTCATTTGCTGGTCCCAATTATGGTTGCTAAATGAGAACTACCTATAGTCCCATTCTGCTACTCTGGGGGGTAGGGGGTAGCTGCACATTGACTTTCAACAGATCACATCCAGGTTTGTTTTAAAGAATTTCAAGATTAGGAGCCTCAAGATGGCTGCCACGATTGCTTTGACTTTATTTAGACAACCGCTGGCATCTCCACCAGTACTTAAGAAACAGGAGTGCTGCCTTCAGCCACTGAAATAAGTATTTGAAAGCAAGATAAGAAATAAAAAAATATATTTGTACTGCAGACAGTTCTCTCTCTATACTGTACACTAGAAAGATTGAAGTCCAAGCTACTGGATTTAAATAAGAAGTGAGATTTGATTGAGTAGTAGAAAGCATTTGCTCAGTGGAAACTGTCTAACAGTACAAATGGAGTCTCTTTTATTTGGCATTACAAAGAATAATAGGGGATGGCCATTTATCAAGGGGAAATGATTGGTAACAGGTCTTTATTGGGTAGGTGTCTTTCCCACTTCTATCTGATGGCGTACACTAGCCCTGGGATCATTATTTTTGTATTCTGTGTTACTGGAAAGTCAGCCAATCAGTAACTAGAAATGGATGTGTAACCTGGTGGTCCTTCAGATGTTGTTGTGCTTCAAATTCCATTGGCCCTAGCCCGTGGCTATTCATCAGACATTATGGAAACAGTAGTCCATCTAAAGGACACAGTTTCCCTACATATGAATGATAGAACAACTCTGAATGTTGGTAGCACATCAATTATATTCAAATATATAGTCACGTCATGCCATATTGTGACATACTTAAGATGCCACATATTGCTATACTGTAATATCATCTGTAATATTGCAATACCTCATTCAGCCTAAAATTTCTTTCAGTTGTATACTTCGGATCAAATTGATGTTGCCAAGTTGCTTTAAGGTAAATGGCATTTGCCAGCACCAGCACCGTTTGTGGTCCAATCACACCAGGAGCAAAAAGTTCCTTAATGTTTCCTATGACAAAAAGAAATATGAATGGATATGAGAAACAAATTGAATCATGTGCGTGACTTTTTTTTTAACCCTTTAAAGTGAACAATATTTTATAGACTAAAAGCATACTGAGTGCTGCATAGCATACACTTTTTAAAAAGTCAGTATAAAGAAATGGAAAGTTGGTAGGTTAGGAGAAATTAGACTTGTTGATGAATGGGAGGACCTACAAATTTAAATAGGAAATGAACAAGCTGACAAACCACATTGCTTATTTTCACTAACAGGGAATATTCTAGAGCAGTGTTTCTCAACTTAGCAGCTTCAAGATGTATGGACTTCAACTCCCAGAATTCCCCAGTCAGTTAATATCTCATATCTTCAAGGAGCTTCATACGGCCCGTCAGGTATCTAACTCTGTTCTGCATGAAATTGCTCTTTATTTTGCTCCATCTAAGGCTAGCTATACCATATAGACTCATATGAATTTGGACAAGGACTTCCCAGGGGTGAGGTCCACAACCATGGACTTTCCAGGAGTCTTTAAGCATCTATTGAAAAGCATAAGACAAGAGGAAGCCTCCTTCAAGTAAATTTATGGAGACTACATGAACAAATAGTTTCTTGGCAGCAATAACTTGTGGTTTGCCATTGTCTTATTTTTCTACGTTTCCCCCAATATTGCTGTCAAACCTATAGTCCTACAATTCCTTGGTCATTTCTCCTCCAAGGACTAACTACTGGTAGGTCAGAACTTGCTTAATTGGGAGGAGGGGGGGAAGAGAGGTGTGAAGGTGCAGGGAGAATCAGCCAAATTTAGCTCTTTAGGCCAATGCCATAAGTGTCTGATCTCCCTGAAATTGTTAATGCTTACACATTTATTTTTTTCAGTTTATACCCATCTATCATCTTTAGGTTATTCAGATTCCCCTTTTCATAAAAGCAAAATTTTTAATAGGCTACAGAAGCTTGCATCCATAATAAATCACATGGAAAAAGATGCATAAGGGAAGACTTATATAAGAAGTAAGAATCTATTGGTAAAATAAGATGTCTGTAGATCTATTTAGCTCTATTTCGGTAATACGGACTAAGTGCAAAATTCTAGGTTTTCAAGGAGGGTTTTTTTTCCATCTCTGTTTAAAAATTGCGGCTTATCCAAGGCTTTGATCTCTTACCTCTACCCTGTCTAGAAAAGTCTCCATTTCTCTTGCAATGTCTGCAGAACGGAATAAAGGTAGTTCTTGTTTAATAACATCCTTGCTTAGTGACCATTAAAAATTACAACAGTTTTGAAAAATTAACTTTACGATCAGTCCTCACACTTATGACTATTGCAGCATCTTCGTAGTGACCTGGCCAAGATTCAGGTACTTCACAACTGGTTTCCAACAAGCAGAGCCGAAGGGAGAAGCCAGCAGTAAAATTTCAAGTTGTGGTCATGTAATTTTTAGTGACCGTGTCACTTAGCAACAGAGTTACCAGCCTCATTTGGAGTCATTAAGCGAGGACTACCCATTGTTGGGGACAAGAAATTCTTGCCTTTCTTACCTTGGGTCTGCTTGTAAATTTCAAGGTTAATTGTCTTCCTTGTTTCTTCAGCAGCACTGTAAAAATCCACTATCTGCAGCACAGCATTGTAGATTTCTTTAGTACTTGTGAGATATTGCTGGAAAATTTCAATGAGAGGGGGAGAGAGGAGGGAAGAAAAACATGTTTTACATTTTTAGTCAGCAGAATTTTGTTTCTGAGTTGCTAGGATGTTGTTGTTTTTTTCACAAGGAGAGGCAAGACACAAATCCAACAAGTCTATGAACATATATTTCCCTAACCACCAAGGCCTTGCTCAGGAAGAGCTCTAATCTCTGTCCCACAGGAAAAAAAAAACCTTCAGATCTGCTGCAACCAAACAGATGAACAAACAAAGGAGGATGTGGACAACTGGAAAGGAGGACAAAGGGAGATAAAAAGAGGATACGCTAACTCTTTAACTTTATCTCAAAAATTACAGTGAAAAATTGCCAAACATTTATTTAGATCTATAAGAATATGAAATGACTTATTCCAGCATCATCAGAAAGAACAGGACTATGCTAGTACAGTTAGAAGGCAAAAGCCTTCAACTTGTAACTGATTAAGATCTTGTTAATTTCAGGCAGCAGGTTAAGTTGACCTGTGGGTATTAATCAAGTAATTTAAACAGCAGGGCTTGTTAACTTGTGGTTAGAACTTATTAGAGAAGCACTGCACTGTGGAGAAAAGCTGGACAATATTTGATTTTAAAGCTATGCCTGCCGGAAGAAGGACATGAGGACAAAAAGGATGGCACCTCCTCCTTTGGCTGGGCATCCGGTAACCCTAACCAGAACATTATGCTATTGCAGGGGTCCCCAACCCCCCAGGCCATGGACTGGCACCAGTCCATGACCCACTTCACTCATGCAAGCGAGCAAAGCCCCATCTGGCAGAAGCAGGTCTCAGGCAGTGCACAAAACAGGCCCCCTTGGTCCACAGAAAAACTGCCCTCCATGGAAACGATCCCTGGCATCCAAAAGGTTGGATGGAGGCTCCTCTGAGACATTAAGTGTTGGGGGATGAAATGGTAAATATTTATGGTGACTTCAAAAGGAAAGGACACATTTTCCCTCTTCTGTTGGGTCTAAGGCAGGAGTGTCAAACTGCCGGCCCATGGGCCGAATGCGCATCCGGAAGCCGTGCCCACCCCATTGCCAGCAATGGCAAAACTGTCCCGATACGTCTCACGACATCACATGACGTCGCAAGTTTGACATGTTTGGTCTAAGGCAATAATGTCAAACTGAAAATGGTTCAAACAACCATTTTTAGCAATGGCTTAGAGCAGTGGTGGGATTCAGCTGGTTCGCACTACTTCGGCAGAACCGGTAGCTAATTTTTTTGTTGCCCAGGCCCAGAATGGACTTCCAGAAGTGACATCCACCCAGAGAACCGGTTGTTCACATATTTGAATCCCACCACTGGCTTAGAGTCACTGTTGCAAATAATGAGGAAGTCTTGGACATCAGCTCTCCACTTTCTTTCATTTCTTAAAGAAATTGTTTGATGTTAGGATTACAATGATGTAGGAACTTGCCTTGAACTTGCGTCAGGTAGCTGGTCCATCTATTTCAGTATTGCCAACACTGACTGACAGATCTGGCAATGGGTATTTCACAGCTTTACATGAAGATTATATACACTGAATCTAGAATATTTGCAAGCAACGCAAGAGCTCTAATTTTATTTAAAGAAGGAGAGGGGTCTTACCTGAAGAAATTGATATCCTTTCTGCATAAACAAATTATTGGCCAGCTTTAGCTGGTAACCATGGCTGAGGTTATTCAGCTGAAGTAGGAGTTGCTTGAACTCTGAATAAATTGTCCCTTCCTAATCAAGATATGAAAGAGAAGATTGGAAACTGAATAAAAATAATTATATTGGTGTCTCCTTGGTATAAAAGGCAGGAAACATATCACAAGGTTCAATTTATTTCACGATAGGGCAGTCAACTTTGGTGCCCATTTCTGTCAGGGTATCTTGAGGCACACAAGTTCCCTGAATCACCTGATTTTATTATTTTTTTTAAAAAAAATGAAACTGGTATATTGAAGAAAACATAACCCTCCAATGTTATATTTTTACAACTGCCTCCCTAAGCAAAGTACAGAAAGGAACAAATAATTTGATAAATTGTTTGATTTCGTGGGGTTTAACAACGTTTTTGGACATACTGCTGGAAGAGGTATGTCTTGTCTCACAGATTCTGGCACAAGCTGTGCCACTTTTGTTTCAGAATCAAGTGGCCCTGCTTCTCCAGGAATTTGAGCAAGGTGTAGAACCTATAACAAAAGTAATTTCAATCAGTACAGAATAAAACAGAGGGGACCTTAATTATAACATAAATAAGTAAATAAGCAGTCAGGCAAACAAACAGACAACATGGCATCTGCAAATATGGAAGTTGGTCCCAACTGGTTTGTGTCTCCACCTGAACTTAAAACCAACAACAACAATTTTTTGTAATCAAATATAAATGAAGCTGACCTACTGCAAAACAAAGCAGCATCCTCTTGATTATATTTATTTGTGGAATGCCTTTGAGCGGAGAGCAACATGTGTGATTATTTTGTTTTGGTCCACTTCATGACTGCACCATTTTCCACATTTGCAAATGCACTCATGAGAGGCACTCAAAATTCCAATTATGTTCCTTGTGCAAAATTGTCATGATTTATGACAACTTTATGTTTTTTATAACAAACACCACTAACTGGTCTCTATTTCTACCTAAACATAACCAAAACATGTTTTCAGGCATATATTCTTTTTGGCAATACACTCAAGACATTGCCTTCAATTTTTTTTATTTTTATGTCATCTCATCCCCCAGCCCACAAGTGTGAAAGGATTAAATCATCCTTAGCTGTAGAGGAATAATATTTTCTCTCTTATTCCAACATCATCCAAAGACATGTCAAGGTGTGCCAAATTGTTTAGGCTTTGCATCAGCCATTATCTTGGTTGGGAGTCAAGGAACTGCAGTGAGTGGAAACAGAGGCAGGAAAAGGATTGCAATGGAGGAAGAGCAAATTTCATCAAACCTTAAAGCAATTTCTGCCAGTTCAAGAATGGATGAATAACCCTATAGGGAATACCCACTGGGCATCTGGAGTCACTGAATTTGGCTTGGGAGAATATACCAACGTTCCTCAAACTGATGCCCTCCAGATGGCTAGGTAAAATGGAAATTACAGCCCAATTCCTCTGGAGGAGGGTTCAAGTGCAGAGATTATTCTCTCCTGTTATCAGTTATGTGATGCTGAACAGAAAGCAGAAACAGGAAAAAAAAAGTTTATTTTACTGTGCTAATTAAGAAAAGTAGTTATATACAACTTCAAATTTAATACTCACTATAAAAATAGAACAAAAAGGGAGAGTCTAAAAAATAAAGGTATAGGAAAACTTCAATTTTACAAGCCCCTTTTCAACTGACTTTGAATACAATGGATAAAATTGGAGTTCAGTCCCAAATAACACACACAGTCTATTTTCCTCAAAGCAGACAACTGATGTAATACACATTGTTTAGGTAAATGTGTCGTTTCCATAATTCCACCCCAAGCAACCTTATTGCTCAAAAATCTTCAGTGTGTCTCAACAATCCATTACTGCTGATTTTTCTTTCCAGCCATTAGGTGATAAATGTTTGAGTCAGTCTCCATGCCTCCCAAAAGAAGAAATCAAGCCAACAATGGTCTTACTTACCTTTTCAATCTGAATTTTACTGTTCCCACTTGCACCAATTAAAACCATGCCCAGGGCAGTTGAAATACTTGCAGGGGAGAAAAAAACATTTTTGCAAAGTTTACTGGAATTTAACGTATTGTAAAGATCCAAAGCAAACGCAGTAATGGCTTTGGAAAGTGACTGCCTGGAGAGACTCAAATCCATGACTAGCTAGAGAAAAAGAAGAGAAAACCTATAAGTAACCAGATGCTCAGGAGCAACAGGTTTTGTATATTGCATGTAGAAGTCTAGAAAGCCACACCCAACGGGAAAGGTGGGGGACGGGGGCAGAATAAATTTATTTAATATGAAAACATTTATCAAGCTGCACCATCAAGCTATTATTTTCAAGTGTATTTTATATTCAAAATTCCTGCAACTGGAGCAGGTGAGCCAAGAACAGAAAAAGTGAATGCAAAAAAACAAAAATAAATCACACACACATTAAAAAAAACTATTTAGGAAATTACAGAAAAAAACTAACTAGAAGAGAAGCAGGATGCTTCCTGGGTGATGATTAATATACCTAGCAGCATATTCCTCTGTCCTAGTTCTTTTGGACCTCTCGGCGGCTTTTGATACTGTGGACCACGGTATCATGCTGCGACGGCTGGGTGGGTTGGGAATGGGGGGCACCGTGATGCGGTGGTTCTCTTCCTTCCTCACCGACCGTACGCAGTCTGTATTGGCAGGGGGACAGAGGTCGACCCCAAGACCCCTAACTTGTGGGGTC